GGGCACAGCCATCTTGAATTCCGAATTGCTCGGTGTCCTCTTGGTTGTTCGACGTCTGAGAGGAGAAATCTGAGGAAAGGGGGCGTGTTGCTAGGCAACGTCTGTCTTTCGATTCGGATCTCCGAGACGGATAAATAATAGAACGCACCAATATAGCCACAATTTAAATGCGGGACATTGCTTTTTAATTACTAGATGCGAGACAAACGTTGCAATTTCGGGACTGTCCTGCAAAATGCATAGTGGTCACTCTGGGGTGTTATGGTGTTCAAATTTGGCAGCGTTGAGTAAATGTAGCCTGTGATCAGCCAATCAAATCATATGTGGATAATGGAGGTCAGATAAATAGACACAATAGTGGACGTTTTTAAAACATGAATGGACAAAAGCGAAGGACAGATAAAAGCATCAGCTCTGCGGTATTTTACACAGTGATAAAGAAAGAGAAAATAGCTTCATTGAAATTCAGTGTAACGTTATGATTGCTTACAGCAGCTGAAGAGGTCATGGCAAGGAGATGCAAACATCTTTCTTTCTATTTTCTTCTATATTTGAGGATTTTAATGTTAATATTGTATGGATAGAGACTGGGGACTTTATCTGTAACCTGGCCCAGTCTTTATAGTACAACAACTGTAATCCTGAAATGTAGTCATAGCCTATATATGTTGTCTTTACTCTTTAGTAATATGGGATAAATTCATTTCTGAAATCTTAAAGAAAGAGATATACCATATTCTTTTGGTGACCATCACTCTTCTATTGAGCACCTGCCCTTTATAAAGGCCAATGTGAATTTCATCTAAGACCCTTCTATTGAAAGAAGGACCCTATGAAAGGGGTCTCAGTTGAAGTATAACCCAAATAGAGTAAGGTCAGACTGCAAAACTGCATTTCTGTAAATGTCAAAAGTCCACTATGGCTGACTGGATGGAAATTATCATAGAAGCAGCAACCTCAATATCTCCGGTTAACAGAGACTGGCTGAGGCTTCAGTTAGCCTATAGTACTGTCTCTGAAAACATATTAACAGGCAAACGTATCAATTTATTTGACTTTTGATGCTCATCATGCTCTTTATACAACACTGATGCTTTCAAGATGAGAGATTAATTTCACTCTCCGTATAAAGGCAGCACAGTTGACACTTGGTATTTGGACGAAAGATGGGTTTGCATTTGTACGGTGGTGAGAGAGCTCAACCAAATTAGAGAGCTTTTCTTTTGCATGTGAAGAAAACACATGCAAGTAGAAAAACAACCGCAAATTAAGAAAACGTTTTCATCAGTTTTACACATGTGTGCTCCAAATACTCACAACACAACCAAATACAGAAACGGGCTGCAAACGTTCACAACACAACCAAATACAGAAATGCAATGCAAACATTCACAACACAACCAGGTACAGAAATGCACTGCAAACCTTCACAACACAACCAAATGTAGAAATGCAATGCAAACATTCACAACACAACCAAATAATAAACGGGCTCCAAACGTTCACAACACAACCAAATACAGAAATGCAATGCAAACCTTCACAACACAACCAAATACAGAAATGCAATGCAAATGTTCACAACACAACCAAATACAGAAATGCACTGCAAATATTCTCAACACAACCAAATACAGAAATGCTATGCAAACCTTAACAACACAACCAAATACAGAAACGCACTGCAAATAGACCACAACGGAAATGTGTCCAGGTAAACCCCAATGGCACTACTTTTTTTATTTTATTTTGTAAACTTTTTTGTGTGCAAAACACAGATGACATGCTTATGACATATAACTTTGTATTCGTGTAAAATGGTACTTTTTCAAAATAGATAGTTCAAAAGAACAGCAATTATTTGAAATATTAAGCATTTGTGTCTTTACTGACATCATGTGTCCTGAGTAAAAGTAGTAATTCTTTCAAAACAAATCTGACCCCAACCTCAAATGTTTAGACAGTAGTTAATATCTATATTTATATTTAATTACACATTTCTATTTTAGCTAAATATATTTTTAAAAAGATGGCAACAGTTTCATTTTAATAATAATCAAATAAGAGAACAAATGTCAAATCTTTGAATTTATGCATACACTGTAAAAAAATTGTAAAATTTACAGTAACTTACTGGCAACAATTAGCCAGTAGGTTACTGTGAATACTTTTTACAGTAAGGGTACTGTACTTCCATTTACAGTATTTTATGTATACACTCAAATCAAAAAACAATTAAATACTGTTATTTTAGTATTTACAGTAACTTACAGGCTAATTGTTGCCAGTAAGTTACTGTGAATATGTTTTACAGTAAGGTTACTGTACTTACATTTACAGTATTTTGTGTATTCACTGTAAAATAAAAACAATTAAACAATATGATTTTAGTTGTATTTTACAGTATTGATTGTTTTACTGTAGAAGAAAAAATACTGTGATTTCAATTGCATCTACATACAAAAAGAAAAAACATTAAGCACTGTTTTTTATGTATTGCATTTATAGCAAAGTGTAACAAAGTATCTTTTCTAATATTTATGCCACAGCATAAAATGATATTGTAGGTGTCCAAGTCTTTCTTACGATAACTGAACTTTGATGAATGATAGCTGTTAACGGAGTCCGCTATGAAACAAACAGTAATCCCCCAAAGACTCTCCTAACCCTCCACCCACCCAAATCCCAATACCTCTTTCCCATTCTAATATTTCAAACCTGCAGGGACAAGACCATTCATGCCGCACAACTACTTGTAGATTAATTAGGTAAGAAGTTTGTATCAGTTCACCCAGCAAATCTGTTCATGAGTAAAATACCATCTTAAGTAAACATATCCACTGCATTATAATGGAAACACTGCAATTCATCCATTTTTGGCAGGACTAAACAAACATTAGAGCCATAGTGTACCTGTGATCTCACTCTTTTGAAAACATAGTTATCACTGTGAAGTCTTGTTTGATGAATGAAAAAGGACTCAGAGAAAAGAATAGAATCAAGATAAGTCACACATCAGAAAATACAAAGTGAGTAAAGCAACAAAGAATTTGTTTGAACAAATAGATTAAAGCATGTTCAAAGTACTGGGTAAAAGTAATGTTGAATGTAATGTAATTTTCAGGTGAAACTCAAAAAGTTAGAATATCGTGCAAAAGTTAATTTATTTCAGTAAATTCAACTTGAAAAGTGAAACTAATACTCATTACATGCAAAGTGAGATATTTCAAGCCTTTTATTTTTTTATAATGTTGATGATTGTCTTACAGCTTATGAAAACAACAAATTCATAATTAGAATATTGTGAAAAGGTTAAGCCATAATCATCAAAATTATAACAAAGGCTTGAAATATCTCACTTTGCATGTATGAGTCTACATAATATATTAGTTTCACCTTTTAAGTTAAATTACTGAATTAAATGAACTTGCACGATGTTCTAATTTTTCGAGTTTCATATGGCCATTTGCATAACTCAACATAAGTGAAAATATACTGTCATATGGGTTTATTGGGATATCAACTCTAGATCATTTTCCATATACAATCACTTTAAAGGGTTAGTTCACCCAAAAATGAAAATTCTGTGATTAATTATTCACCCCCATGTCGTTCCAAACCCATAATACTTTCGTTAATCTTCGGAACACTTTTTAATGAAACCTGAGAGCTTTCTGTCTCTCCGTTGACAGCTACGCAACTACCACAAGGTCAAAAAGACCTTAATTTGTGTTCTGAAGATGAGTGAAAATCATATGTGTTTGGAACGACATGAGGGTGAGTAATGATGAATGACAGAATTTTCATTTTTGGGTGAACTAACCCTTTAAAGTTCTAAGCTGTGCAACTCTATACTCCAGTTTTTCTAAGCAGTGAAGCTCAGGATCGTTAGTTGCTTTGCCTGAAGGGATCAATCAATCAACGGTTATAGACATACTGGGACACGAGAAAAAGGACTATTGGCTGGGTGTGGCCTGGCCGTCTGAGAGATGGACTACATTAGCTAGAATGGCTTTTTGTCCATGATCTGTTACAATTCGTTTTAGTAAGCAGCCTCATTTTTAGCTAAGTTCCTCTGGGCTCTTTTTTTTAAAGTTTCTTCAGCAAATTGAAGTTGTGCTTGTTCTGTGTAAAGTGTAGCCATAGGTGCTTTGCCATATAGAAATTCTCTTTTGAGTTCTACTACCCTCTAAAAAAAAACTCATCTTTTTTCAGTGTTGAAGTTTAACCTGAGATACTCACCAGAATGTTTAAGTTTTGATTTATGGATGGATTTTGAGTAAGACAGCTGGAAATTGCAAAGTTTCTAAAGTTACAAATTTGTAATTTATTTTATTTTGGCACATATACTTTGCAAACACTTTTTTAAATAATTAAATTGCTCATTTGGTTCAATTTGATTCATTTAAAATGAGCAGAAAATATGTTTCATATCTCATTACTGTCACGTTTTCAGTATGTTTAGTTAAAAGGGTGATGAAATGAGAAATCAAATTTTCCTTAAGCTTTTGACATCTAAGAGGTCATCATATTATATGAATATCCTGTAAGTTTCTTGTTAGTCCAATAAAAGCTTTTATTGACACCAGGCTCAGCAAACGACTCATTTTTTCAAAGTGGGGAACTATGACGTCAAAGAGGATAAAATTTACAGTATAATTCAAAACTGTTACTTCCAAGTCTTCAGTGCGAGACGCCCATAAAAACCGAGCGTTTATGAGCTATGCTCAAAACTAGGGTTGAAAATAGCCTATTACTTATTCATTTTGATGTTTTTGAATGCAAAATCCAAGCGAACGTCATAAGTTGACCTCAGACAACATATAATAAAATTTAAAAACCCAGTTCATGACTCCTTTAAGTTTTGTGATCTTTTTCCCCCCTGTATTTGTGATTTTGGTTTAGTCCTGTTTGCGTTTCCCTGTCTGTTAATTAATTCCCTTCACCTGTGTTCTGTTAATTATCCCATTAGTCCCTGTTCATTTAAGCCCTGTGTTTTCCCTCAGTGTTGCTTGGTCGTCGTCAATGCATGGTTGAGTGTGTTTTTAAAGTCGTGGAGAGGGTTCCTTTGTCCCTGTAAGTTGAGTTGTTAAATCAACTACATTGAAGTTATCGTGTCTTGTGGTAACACTGTAGTACAATAAGTCTTCATTAGTTAACTACTTTAGTTAACATGAACAATACTTATACAGCATTTATTAATTTTAGTTTTTTATGTTAATTTCAGCATTTACTAATACATTAAGTACTGTTCTTATGCGAATACAGTGTACAGAGAATGATGGTATGACATCATGCATGTTGAACAGAATAAAAGCTGACATTTGGCAAAGATGATAGTAGTAGTTATATCATGGCCAGACCTCAAATTACTATGTGACTGCATTATGGTTTCCATGTTAATCACACAAAATCACTTGCATGGCTGGTTAGAGCAAAGCATTTAGATAATTCTGGATTGGATCCATTTGAAGAATTCTCAGTAAGTCCTCTTCTGATTGGGTCATGAGTTCTGTTCCTTTGTTTTCATGCGCAAGTGTCTTCTGGAGTGCATATAATTCCTTAAAAATATTCCTTCGGCCAAAATTCTGTGAGATTCTAAGAGGATCACTTTTAACCCACAAGCCTCTGGGAAAAATAAACCGTAGCCAGCCTTCAAATCAAAGCACATTTGATGGGGATTAGAAGGATGGCCTCTTACAAGCCTACTGCTACATGCACATTGAGTACTGCCTACTATTTTAAAAAAAAAAATGTATGTGGAATTCAATGCATTATCCAGTGAGATACATTTCAAACAATATGCTGCATTATCATCACAAGACCTAATGATGTTTGTCACAATCTCATTACATCCATGTTATTGTGGTTATTTTCCATTCTTTATAGATTATACTATATTAATAACAAAACTTGACCATGTGCAGTATAGTATGCTATAGTACACACTTTGATAAATGTAGTACATTTGCATACTATCCACATTATACAAACTTTTTACTGCAGAAACAGTAAGTTGGTGATATGATGTAATGAACATACCCAAAGACTGAGAAAACCGCACAAAATGCACACAAAATCTCTCATATAATTAAGTCATCACTCATGCTGAGCCACTTAAACCACAAGAAGTACCAGTGCAATGATCTCTCAAAGTGTTTATGGAATGATAATAATACTGTGAATCTAATATAAGCTGTTGCTTTTGTGAAGATTTTTCTTATTTTTAATTAGCTGGTGCACCTGTTTGTAATTATTGTGTTTGGCAATCAAAATGACTTCCATTTTACAAATATGATGGATAATGCAAACTTTTATCTGCACTCGCTAATGACTGGCAACAAATTGCATTAGTAAAATGCACTTACCACTGTCCTTTTTAGAGGTCTGTAATCAAATTGGCTTCTCATAGACCTTAAAATCACAGGTCCGCGGGCTCTTTGAAACAGTTGTAGGAAACCTCTAAAGGTGGCTAAATTGAAGTGTTTCTGTCTCTTTACACAGAGCGGATTGGCATGCTGCTTTAGCTATTGTCACCTCTGCTGGAGAGCTGGATTGGAACAAGAGACACTTTCCTCCCATTTGTCCTGCTGCTGGCAAACCTTACACAGGCCTCTTCTATGCTGCCAATGACCTTGTTGGACGGACTGCAGGTGCTCAGAGGACATGGGGCTGCTGTGCCAAACCAGTTTGTTCGGATGGGGCTGGTGTGAGAAGATGGAACACATGAGGTGTGTGTATAGTGCTTGTATATGGGTATGTTCTTGTTCATACATGTTTGTGCTGAGCAATTGCAAAAGACGCACAAAAAAGAGTATTTTTAATTTGACAGCCCTGTTACACTTCTGATTATATGACTACAGTAGGGGAGACCTGAAAGTGGTGTTGAATTTTAACTAAATCATTTTAACCTATTTGAAATTGGCAGCAAGGGTAAATCCCTATAAATCTGTATAAAGTTTAATTTAATGAATCAATATTATTTAACCCCCTCTCTGTCACCCCACTTTTTGAGAATGGGGGTTAAAATGTACTATTCAAACTTAAATGGTTGTAATTCAAGAAGGCTTTGGAATATACAGTATACCCAAGTTTGGTGGTGTTTTAAAGGAAACACTCAGCAGATTATTGCTAAAACACTTAAAAAGTTTATATTTACATTAAATCAACTATACTGTACTATATCTTTTGTATTTTATATAAAATATATATTTTACTTTTTTTTTACTCTAAACTTACTATAAAATCAAAGCCATAAATCTAGACAAGTTATGTTCCAAATTTGAAGTTGATATCACAAAAATTGAAGTTCCCATGAGATTTTGTTTAGGCGTAGTACCAAATATAGCCACCGGGTGCCATTGAATTCCATTGAATTTAGTTGTATACATTTGGTCTTAACAAATTAATACATTTCTGTCCAAATATCAATTCTGTCACAAAGTCTGGAACCTTGAGACACAGACCTTTTTCTAGACCTTCCTAAAATAAGGACTATACTATAACTAAGTACATAAACTATACATGTTGGAGGGGAGAACGATTGCTGGTGTGATTTGGTAATTTGTATTTTTATTTCCACAGCAGCTACATCACCTTGTGTTGTCATTGAAGTAGTGCATATGAATAATCATTCGAAGCATAGTGTATCCTTTATACACAGCAAAAATAGCCTGTTTTTGACTGAAATTCTAGAATTGTTAGATAGAAAGTGTGGTTTACAGTTGTCAATGAATGTGACGCTAAATATAATTTTTGCTTTAATAAGAATTTCCCAATAAATATAGGCAGGAATAAACCTGGTATACTCAATGATTGCTGTTCTGGAATCAACAACAAAGCACTTGAATGCGACAAGCTCTTAATCACAACTTCAGAAGTGGAAAGTTAGAAATTGCACATGAAGGCAGCATAATATTTCGATTTAATATTTATATTTTTATTTTTTCTATTTTAATCTGAGTAATTGTAATACTTCAACCTAAACTTATTCATTTCAGCTATCAAGGCAACTGTAGATGCTACCAAACTAAAATGCTACACTAAAGTCACAGGATGAAAACTATGATGAAGCAATGAAAGAATTAATGTTTACCCATGTCTGGAGGAGATTAAAAGCTTTTATGATAATCCCTTTATTCTAGCATAGCAAAACTGTGATGCTGATTTTTGTGTCGCGCTCTTCCCTGCTGTGTGATGTGTCTGGGTGCCAGTCTAATTTGTAGGAATGCATTTGAAATTGTCATCAAACCTAAAATGGTGTTTGAACATGAGGGGAGACGCTCAGGATATAAAACAGGGATTCTGAAGGGCTCTCTTATTTGTAAGTGGAACCACTTGCATTTTCTCTAGTGCCCAAACAAATAATAGAAAACACACCCATATTTAAGCCCATTTGCATTTCAGGCAATCTAAAGAGGCCATTGAATTGGGGGATTTAAATAGGATTCGGTACTCTAGCAAATGAGTTCATGCATATTTTACCAACAATTTCTATTTTGAGCAGTCACAAATAACATAAGCAAGGTATCACAGAAATATTGCAATATTTAACTACTACATTGCAGTTGGCATTAAATGAAAGTTCACAATCCATTTGTGCATGTTTCATTTAAAAGAAAATGTGCCCAATTATTGAATCAAAATATCATAACTCGATCTTACAATGAAATGTCATGCTTCTCTCTCGTGATTTATGCCAGAGTTCTCCAATCATTTCGTCTTCTTAAACCCCGCACCTTTCTTACAATCGACTGCAAACTTCATATCCCATGAACAACCGATGAGGAGAAACATATATATATATATATATAATTTTTATTATTATTATTTATTTAGTTTTTTTTTTTTTTATAATCCGCTTCACTTGGATGTACATTGCAATATGGAAGAAAAAATATCTGACACTATATTACATTGCAACTTTAATAAATAAAAAAAGTATTGATTATGTAACCAAATAAAACAAATAGATATTGGGATTCAATTCATGACACAAAGCCTCAAAATCCAGCCTGCTCTAGTGAGGCTAATTTCCCAGACGTTTGTGATGTAAATGTAATAGAGGGCTGTTGTAAGTGGAACTTTTGACAGTTTCTTATAATAGTAACCATTAGCACCAACAAGGAGTTCATTATGTGAGTTTAGACACCATGGAGTACAATAATGAAAGAGCTGCATGTAGTCTGCAGCCATGGCATAGAAAGACACCCCTGTATGGACACTATAGACATAATTAATGAATGTCTTCACTCAGACTTTCCATGTCAAACTGGCAGTTTAAAAACATGACATATATTCAGTGCTTTGCTAGGGAAGTCCAAATACTGTATGAATCAGAAACTCCCTTAGCTCATTAGCATAACTGAGCACCACAGCTGAGATAGATAGTTGGGCTCCAGATTTGACGTTTTCCACAGCGTTTATGCAAATAAACGTTTAGCAAAATTAACAGAGATGTCCCATCTTTATGCTAGTCAAGAAGGTTTGTATTATCTTGATATAGCTTAGCTGTTAACATTCACACTTTCACCTGCTACAGTGCATGTCTTACTTTGACTTTTATCCACCGTTACATGGGTAATTGTATCCCATCATCTCTTGATTCTTGTCACCTAAAGCTGAGTCACACAGTCAGACAGACAGATTAAATATGAGACTCTTTCTCTTTCGCTCTCTTTTTCTTTTCCTCTCTCACTCATAAACGACAGGCACAGCTTCAGGCTGTCTCTCATGCTAGTTTCTCGACTATTCCAGTGGTTTGCGGTACATTTACTCTCAGGTGTTCTTTCATAAAGCAGCAGGGGTCTTGGTTTTGCTCTGACAGTCATTTGGAGCCTCCATTCTTGCTATTTGAATCCAAGAAAGCATTTGCCAATCTACCACACACACACACACACAATTCTGGAAATTCTGTGGTATGTTGCTGTGGACTTTAATCCCATTGTAAAACGTCATGTAATCCACAAATTAGTTTTGAGAAATTGATTTTAAGTTAGGCTCAATGGTACTCAAAACATCAATGCATTCAGTAAGAACAGTTCTTTTATAGCATTTTCCATTTAATGTTTTTTTTTACATTTCACAATAGTTAATTTATTATGAACAAACCTGAATTAAAAGGGGATAGTATACCCAAAAGTGAGTAAATGATGACAGAATTATAATATTTTTGTAATTAATAGTTGGGTTATTCCATATTTTACCCAATTTTTTTTTTTTTTTTACCTATTTTTTGTATGTGAAATACAGTAAAATACAGTAAAATTCTTACATTATAACTTTTGTCATTTTAATATATTTTTTTCCCGATGACAAAGGAGAATTTTCTGCATCATTAATGTTTGTAAATGTCTTTGTCACTTTCGGTCAAATGAATGCATCCTTGCTGAATATCAATAATACAAAAATCTTACGGACCCCAAACTTTTCAACACTCTTACAATCTTACATTAACCTAAATTAATGAATGCTGTAAAAAAAAAAAAAAAAAGTTGTTGTTAGTTCATGCTTCCTAATGTATAACCTAATGCAAAATTGAACCTTATTGTAAAGTGTTACCAGCTTAAAACACATTTGTGACATATTATTGTTTTTTTTTTTAATGGAGACAAGACTAGATAAAGACATTTGGGTTTTCTCTTGCTCTCAAATCAATGAGATGGTCAATAGGGGTCATACAGCTGACCCGTTGAAGCTAAGTTGTTTGTCATATCATTATGCAGATGCCTGGTGTCATGGATGACAGGCTGATGGAGACATTAGTCACCGGTACCATTATCCACAGTTTGGATGGAGATTATTCAGCTAGTAATTAAATGCATTGCCAATTTTTACACCTGAACCAGTGTAAACCAAAAACTATAGTGCCTGTCTGTTAAAAGGTCATTCCCAAGGGTTAGGACTGTAACTATGGAAACAGAATTCTCAGGATAAGCAGCGATCAATATGATGCAGGTCAAAGGGTGGATGATGTTTAAAGGTAAATCTAATATTCCTAAACATAATGAGGGACTCAGAACACTGAATTTTCTCATATACAATAAGACTAAACCATTGAGCGCAGTGAGTGACAAATAATAGTGCAAGTGTATGGCAATTACAGTGTTTCTTTGTGATTTTGACACAGTTTAAATACTGTAAATTGCCGTCAAGTGGATGTGATTAAATGTTCGACGTAGCAGCCATACAGCTCCATAATTTGTGTGTCAAAAGCCTCCACCTATTGCATCAATCGCATGAAATAAACACCGCTTTAGGTATATTCATATTCATCTCTCTTTTTCTCAAGCAATGCGATTACACATGTCCTTGTTCCCATTGACTTGTTGGTGTACAATGTGTAAGTGATCTATGTTAATAGGATTATAGTGCAAAGAACCCGCTGTCTTTTACCTCTTAATATGGTCGCTCTAGAGATCAACTGAAATTAAATGAGAAAAACTGCTTGTCAGCAATACTAGGATGAATTGATCCTATTGCAAGTGGAGTATTATGTTGTGTTAAAGTACAATATTATGGAATGAAAATATTTGGTTTTAGTAATATTATATTTGATGTATTGGGGTACTATCTCTACTATCTTTTTTATTATTGATTGTTTACCAGTATTACTATTGTAGAAATAATCATGTAGCTTTTTTTAAGCAGTGAGGTTTATAATTAGATTACAAAGTGTTTGTCTTACATACTGAAGACTACAGCCCTCAAAGGCAAAGCTGGTCATAATGGC